CACCATGTGGGACCTATGACCAAACTCAAGTTGTCAGGCTACAGTAGATGCCTTTACCCACTGAGCCATCTCACTAGCCCCACAGCCCTATTTTAAAGCTACACTGTGTATAAATAAGTGCTTGTTAAAATGCTGTTGTTAAGCCAGGTAGGTGCATGCTGGTAATCCAGCAGTTGGGAGGTGGTAGCAGGAAGACCAGGAAATCACGCCCATCCTTGACTGCATACCTAGTTCAAGGGCAGCCTGGACTACATGATACCTTATCTCCGAAAGACAGGCATACAGTCAGAAAGAAGAGAAAGAGAGGAAGGGAGGGAGCAAGAGAAAGAAAGAAAATGCTGGTGTTAGCTGGGATATATATATACCCAGCTACTTGGAAGACTGAAGCTGGAGGGATCACTTGGGGCCAGGAGTTAGGGCAGTCTGGGCAGAATAGGAACAGCTGTCTCAAAAAGAATTATTGGGCTAGTAAGGTGTCTCAGCAGGTAAGAGCACCAGTAGCCAAGCCTTACAAGCTGAGTTTAGATCCCCAAGATTCAAATGGTGGAAGGAAGGGACAGGCTCCCAAAAGTTGTCCTCTAACCTGCATGTGCATGCTGTGCATGCATGCACACACACAAACACAAATGTAAGTTCATAATGGGAATATTGCTGTCTTGCTGGTTATTTACTTAGTTGGGGTGGTTTGTTGTTACATTTTTACAGTACTGAAAACTGAGTCTAGTATCTTGCTACTGAGCTATATCACCAGCTGAGTAGATTTGGGGAAGTAGTTTTGTGTCTGTGCAGTAGGTGTGTGCTTGTTTGGTTTTGCATTGATACACAGTCTCAGATAACCCAGGCTGGCCTCAACCCAAGATGTAGCTGAAGCTGGCCCCAAGCTTCTGATCCTTCTGCCTCCACCTCCCAAGGCCCGGGGGTCAGCCCCAGGGCATCATGCTTGCTAGCTAAGCATTCTACCAAACGAGCCAGATCCCCAGCCCCTGAATTAGATTTATAAGTGTAAAACTGGAAGACTTGATTACACTATAGAAAGCTACAAAGAAAATGCTAACGAAGTATTGAAGAAAAGACCATTGCAGAGAGCAAAGAGAAGTTCTACAGTGCAACCTTTGGGAATAGTGAAAAGCCACTTACAAATATGGCTGGGGATAATGTTGTGTATAGCAGTGCTTCCTGGCCTTAGCTGAGTGGATGTATACTGGGTGCTTCCTATTAGGGGTTGGAGAGATGGTTCAACGGTTAAGAGCAGTTGCTGCTCTAGGAATCTGACACCTCTTCTGGCCTCTTCAGGCATTGGGCAAACCCACACACACGTATACACAGTTTTTAAAAATGTATAATTGTTCTACCAAATTTAAAGGCATATTTTTTATTTCATAATAACTCAAGATTTTAAAATTTTTTATCACATGTATTTATTTAGTGCATGTATGTATGTGTATGGGCCTGTGCGTGCAATATGGAGGTTAAAGGACTCTATTATCTCCTTCTACCCTGAGTCTTGATCATTTGGCTGGACATGAAGTTCCTTTACCTGCTGAGCCATATCACCAACCCCTAGAAGAGTTGTATTGAGTGAAACACTGGTTTCTGTTTTCAATGTTTCTTTCATTTGTGTCATAAATATTAATTATATAAAACTCACTATTTTGAAAATTCTTAAATGTTCAGTTCAGCAGTAACAAGTATCTTTACTAGATTTTGTAACCATCACCCCTATTTCATCATTCCAAAGAGAAACTCTGTAACCCATTAAGCAATAACTCCTCATTCCTTCCTTCCTCTAGCTTCTGTGACTACAGTTGTACTTTATGTTTCTGTGGATTTGCCTGCTAAGGTGCCTTATTTTGTTTCGGTTTGGTTTGGTTTTTCAAGATGGTGTTTCTCTGTGTAGCTTTGGAGCCTGTCTCCCAAGTGCTGGGATTAAAGGCATGAGCCACCACCATCCAGCTATTAGATGCCTTATATAAATAGAATCATTCAGTCATCATCATTTTATACATGACTTCTTTTTTTTTTTTTTTTTTTTTTTTTTGCTTTTTAGGAGACAGGGTTTCTCTGTATTGTTTTGGAGGCTGTCGGTCCAGCCCAGCCTTGAATTCACAGAGATCCGCCTGCCTCTGCCTCCCGAGTGCTGGGATTAAAGGCGTGCGCCACCACCGCCCAGCTATACATGACTTCTATTGCCTTAATATTTGTAAAAGTTCATCAATATCATACATAGCATGTCTCAGAACATTGTTTTTTTGGTTTTGGTTTTAAAGATTTATTAATTTATTACATATACACTGTTCTGCCTACATGCCAGAAGAGGGCACCAGACTGAATTGTAGATGGTTGTGAGCCACCATGTGGTTGCTGGGAATCAAACTCAGAACCCCTGGAAGAGTAGTCAGTACTCTTAACCTCTGAGCCATCTCTCCAGCCCTGGTTTGTGTTTTTTTTTTTTTCTTTTTTTCTTTTTTTTTTTTTTTTTTTTTTGGTTTTGTTTTGTATCAGTATCTATCTCACCATGAAGCCGAGGCTGGTTTTAAATGCAGTATGTGGCTCAGGAGCCTCAAATTCACAATCCCCCTGTCTTAGCTTCCAGAGTACTCGAATCATGGCCTATACCACCATGCCCATGTACTTTATTCCTTTTTGGTAGGTGAGGCAGGAATTAGTACTCAGCCACTGAGATGTATCCCAGCCCCATTTCGTTTGTTTTTCATGGCTGAATAATGTTTTTGTTCTGTGTAAGTATCTTTTTTTTTTTATTCATTCCTCGGTTGATGCTGCTCTCTTGGATTTTTGTACTCTGGCTGTTGTATTATTATTTGTAAGGCTACATAAGAGAAATATTTATGGGAACTATGGTACATATGTTGGGAAACTAAAGAATATCTATAAACTTTTCTGGTAATGATGGGTCACTAGTTACTAAACCCTTTTAAATGGATATGCCAGTTGTGTAGGTAGACACCTTTAATCCCAGAACTTAGGTGTCAGAGACAACTGGATCTCAATCAGCCTGGTCTACATAGGAAGTTCCAGGACAGCCAGAGCTACATGATAGAGAGACCCTATCTCAATAAATTAAAATAAAAGAGGATGTTTTCTGTCTTAGTTAGAGGTTAGGGTAACTAATGCTGTGATGAGAAATACCACAACTAAAAGCAACTTGGGAGGAAAGAGTTTATTTCACTCACACTTCCATATAACAGTTCATCAAAAACAGAGAGGGTAGGAACTCAAATAGGACAGGAACCTGGAGGCAGGAGCTGATGCAGAGATCATAGAGGAGTGCTGCCTACTGGCTTGCACCCACTGACTTGCCAGACTGTTTTCTTATAGACCTTAGGACCACCAACCCAGGGATAGCATCACCCACAATGGGCGAGAACTTCCCCATCAATAACTAATAAAGAAAATGCCCTACAGGCTTGCCTGCAACCCAATTTTGTAGAGGCATTTTCTTTTCCTTTTTTTTTAACTTTTATTGATTCTTTGTGGGTTTCGCATCATGTATTCCAATTCCACTTATCTTCCCATCCCCTTGCATCAGCCCTCTGCCCTTGTAACCTCCCCGCCCCCAATCAAAACCAAATGTAAAAGAAAAAATAAAACAAAGAAATAAAGCAAATAAAAAAGAAGAATCTTGCCTTGGAAGCTGTAGCATGGTTTGTTAAGTTATACTGTTTACCCTTTAGTCCATTCAACTTTGTTTGTTTGTTTTGAGACAGGGTTACTCTGTGTAACTGCCCTGACTATCCTGGAACTGACTCTGTAAATTAGGCTGGCATTGAACTCACAGAGCTCTACCTGCCTCTGTCTCCCGAGTGCTGGGATTAAAGGCATGTGCCACCACCTCCCAGCTTAACCCATTCATCTTTACTTGCAAGTGTTCATTGCCTTGAGTCATTGGTCTGGTTCCAGGCCTCTGGTTTCTACTACACTCTAATAATGGGCTCTCACTGGGACTCCTCTTAGATTTCCTGTTGTTGTTCTGTGTCATGGAGATCCTATTGTTTTGGATTTGTAGGTTTGTCCCCTTCACATACTCCAGCAGTTCATAAATTCAATGGATGTTGGGGTCAGCAAACTCATAGGCCTGGTTCTGAGCCCGGGTGGTAGCTGGGTGGTCAGCTGCCCCAACTGCTCACCCAGTGCAGCCTGCAGCAAGGAGCAGAGCCAGTTCTCCTGCTCTCAGGTCCTCAGATCCAGGTCACTCACATCACCACGATCAGCTGTACTATTTTGTCCAAAGGTACAAGGCACTGTCTCCGATTGCTGTGGGGGGCATTTGAGTGGCGAGAGGTCAGCTCACCTGCATCCCTAACAACAGGGTCGGCTCTAGTGTGCTGCCCAGACAGGGAGGGTCAGGGCTGGCTCTCCTACTCTCGTGACCCCTAGGCTAACTCTCTCACCTGCTGCAGGAGGTAATGGGTAAACCAGGGAGAGCATCTTTCTGTTGCCCGTGATGGAGGCATTTTCTTCATTGTGGTTCCCTTTTCTTAAATGACTTTGTCTTGTGTCAAGTCAACATAAAACCAGCCAGCACATTTTCCTAAATGGTACCTAAACATTTTCTTGTAATACTCAAGAGAGGCACCTTATCCTTTAAATAAGTTTTAGCTATCTGAAGACTATTTTATGAGTCTATAAAGGTGACGCTGGCACTCAAACCCAGTACCTCACACATGTTAGGTACAACATAGCACAGATAGATGATAGACAGACAGATAGATCGGTAGATAGATAGATCAGTAGATAGATATATGTGTGTATCCATGCATACATAAATAGATGCATAGGCATTGTAAGTGGTGGTGCTAAAATGTATGCTGCTGGTCATCTGCTATTAGGGTTACCTTACCATTGAATGCTCTATTTTCTTCAACTTCTTATCACCATCATGGCTTTTTCAGACAGTTTAAATCCCCTAGGGAACAAGATAGGATAAGAATGAGTGAGCAGACAGGCCTCCACTGACAAAGTATGGCCATCTGTTTCCTCAGGAAATTACTACAATCAAGGAGAAATTCGAAAGAAAGAACTTTTGCAAAGCTGTGATGTTTTGGGGATTCCACCTTCCCATGTAACGATTATCGACAACAGGTAATTTGTCCTTTCATAATGTAGAAACCCATTGGCAATAAAAATGCATTGGTACACTAAAAAGTCACAAACCCCCATGTGAGTGTAAATACTTCTTATTTGAAAAGTCTGCTGTTACTTTTGTTGTTGTTTAGCTGGTTGATTTTTCAGACAGGGTCACATGTATCCCTGGCTGGCCTTGAACACCCTGTGTAACTAAGGGTGATCTTGAACTTCTGATCTAGCTGCCTCAGACCCCTGAAGTTGGGGTTACAGGTATGCACTGTATAAATCAAACCCAGGACTTTGCACATGCTATGGGTGTTCTATCAACCCAGCTACAGCCCCAGCCTCCAGAACCTCCTGTGAGCTTCCTGTCCCAGGCCTGGAAGCAGCAATTCCTCCAAGGCTTGGTTTTTCTTAGCAGGAAAAAGTATAGATACCTTTACCTGCACAATAGTAGCATTCATTTCTACAGTGTCATTATTTCTCATTTGGTAATGGGCAGAACTAGGACATCTGTGCTCTAAGGGATGGAAGAATCAGGAATGTATACCAATGATTGCAATAAAATGCATTTCAGGCTTTTTGCAAATGATTTTTTTCTCCTACACTGACCATCTTGCTTCCCAATAACACAAACATAATTACTCATTTTCTTTTTTAATATTGTTAAGAGGTTGCCAGGTGGTGGTGGCCCACACCTTTACTCCCAGTACTTGGGAGGCAGAAGCAGGTGGATCTCTTGTGAGTGAGTTTCAGGACAACCAGGGCTACAAAGAGAAACCCTGTCTTGAAAAACTAAAAAAACAGCCAGGCGTTGGTGGCACACGCCTTTAATCCCAGCACTCGAGAGGCAGAGGTAGGTGGATCTCTTGAGTTCGAGGCAAGTCTGGTCTACAGAGAGAGTTCCAGGACAGCCTCCAAAACAATACAGAGAAATCCTGTCTTGGAAAAAAAAAAAAAGTAAGAAAGAAAGAAAAGAAAAAAAGATCACTTATCAGTTTGCCCACGCACTGGGGTTTGTGGTTGGGGTTTATTTATTTACTTTTGAGGTAAGGTCTCACCATGTAGCCCTGGCTATCTTAGAACTTGATATATGTACCAGACTGGCTTTGAAATCACAGAAATCCACCTGCTTCTGCCTCCCTAGTATAGGGATTAAAGACACACGTGTGCTCCCGTGTCTGATTCCTATATAGTAATTTTTCAAATGTTTCTTAAAATATTTTGCCTCTAGGACGGTTAAGGTAGGAATATTGCAATGAGTTCAAGGTCAGTCTAGAACAACAGAATGACAGAATGAGACCCTATTTCAAAAAACAAAAGTTTAAATGGGTCAGGGGGTGAAGGTACCTGCTGTTAAACTGGATATACTGAGTTCAATCCCCTAAGACCGATATGGTAGAAAGAAGGAACTGATTCCTGTATATTGCCCTGTGACACAAACATACACAAAAATAAGTATAAATTTTTAGAGATTTAAATTGTATTTATATATATTTACATATATATAAACATGTGTGTTCAATATTTGCTTTGCTATCTTTTTGTTACATTTATTTTGTGTGTGTGTGCTGTGCTATGCTGTGTATGGTGTACATCAGAGGACAATTTGTGGGGGTTAGAGAACAGTTTGTGGGAATCCTATGGAACTCACATATCATCAGGTTTGGTGGCAAGTATCATCACCCTCTAAGCTGTCTTGCTGGCCCTGTTGTGCTATTTGTAGAGAACTGAGTGGTAGATAAAGGGATTGTGTCTCTTTTAGAATCTCTATCTCACTGTTTCTCAATGCTCACTGTCCAGGAGTTAACCCTAGTTTAGTGCTACAAGGCAGATCCAACAAATGTCTAAGGTGAACTGGTGACTTCACAAACACTGCTGACTTCACACCGAGGAGGAAAATATGACTCACTTGTCTAAGAAGTGCTTCCTCTTGTATAGATTCTGGATATTCGCATCAAGGAGCAGTGAAGACTGCCAAGTAATGAGATCTCCAGTCTGCACACCAGGAAGGGTCCTTCATCCTTATCACTTGTTTATCTTTGTTTTCTCATCTTCCCAACAAACTTGATCTCAGTTTGTTTGGGGTTGGGGTGGAGGCAGCTTGTTTCTTGATCATAGAAGATTAGAACCTGAATATTATTGGATGAGGGAAGGGTGTGACTGCTGTAGACACAGGAGGGAAATAGATAACAAATGAATGTTTAGTCTGCTGGGATTGTTTTAGATAGTTTGAGCTGGAGGATCTCTCCCACGCAAAGTCAACCAGAGACAAAATGAGTCCAGGGTAGCTCAGTAGCATCATCAGCTCTTCAGTGGTTGCGAAGATTTTACCATAAAGATACCATAATTAGGCCAGGCATGGTGGCACACGCCTTCAATCCCAGCACTCTGGAGGCAGAGGTAAGAGGATCTCTGTAAATTCAAGGACAGCCTGGACTACAGAGTGAGTTCCAGGACAACCAGGGCCACACAGAGGGAAAAAAAACCAACCATGATCAACTGAGCATGGTGGTGCATACCTATAATACCAACTGAGCAGAGAGAATCATGATTTTAAAGCCATAACAAAATACCACAGACAAATGACTTAAGCAACAGAAATGTACTCCCCCTGCCCCCAGTTATTCATACTAGAAGTATGGAGGTTAATTCCTAGTGACGGTCCTCTTCTTTACAGATGGCCACCTTCTCGTGTGGAGCAGGCAGGTGGGACCTCACCCTTGTGACCTCGTTTAACCTGATTTATCTAAGAGGCATGTCCAAATATAGTCACCCTGGGGGATAGTGCTTTAGATTAGTATGAATGAGGGAAAGTGCAGATTAGTCCATAGAAATATACAAACCTCTTAGCTTTTCATTTAATCAGACTCTGTAAATATATCACAGAGGAAAATGAAGGGACAAGGGTCAGAAGGAAGTTTCATAGAGGACCTGTAACCTATGATGGTAATAAGTAGATATAAAACCCTTACTGTTGGTGCCAAAAAAACATACTCAGTACATGATCTTGCTTAATCCTGAAGTTGATCCAATTATTTTCCATTTTACAGATAAAAATTTGAGATGGTGAGGTTGAGTCATTTGCTCAAGGTTACTCGGCTGCCAGGCTGAAGGGCTGGCATTTGCACTGAGGCCATCTGGCTGCAGAGTATAAGCTCCAAGCAATGTATTTCCAGGCTACTCTGTACTTTCAAAGTATGAAGTACATACTCCTGGCTACATCTTTTCAAAGGCCATATCACTTAATTTGTAGGCTAATTCTATGAGACAGCTTTTATTATCTTTCTTTGTTTTGTTGCACATAAAGAAATGAGAGCTCCACTCGGGAGGCAGAGGCAGGCGGATCTCTGTGAGTTCGAGGCCAGCCTGATCTACAGAGAGAGTTCCAGGACATCCAGAGCTATACAGAGAAACTCTGTCTCAAACAAACAACAAAACACACACACAGAGGAACGGCAATCCTTAAAACACAAAAAAAAAATCCCCACAGCAATGGCAGTTCTAGGTAGGGCTCAAAGACAGAAAGGGAGATGAGCTAGTGAACTAGACCCTGCCTTTGAGAGAAGTAGGCCACTGCTGTGTCAGTGTCTCAAAGCCCATCATAGGTCTAAAGGGCTTTGTGTGTGGTCAGCTGTTTGTTCTTGCAGCTCTGAGCGTCAGTGCTTGATTTCAGGGATGCACTTAGCCAAAAGAGCACACCCAGATAAACCCTTTGTGGGGAAAACTGTTTTCAAGGAAAGAGTGTACTGGCTAGGTTTGTTAACGTGGCACAAATCAGAGTCATTTGGAGAGAGGGAACATCAGCTGAGGAATTGCCTCCATCAGACTGGCCTGTGGAGATATGTGTGGGGTATTTTCTTCTTTTTTGGAGGGAGCATTTTCTTTTTTTAATAAATTTTATTTAAATTAGAAACAATCTTATTTTACATATCAATCCCAGTTCCCTCATTTTCCCATTCCCCCCACCAACCACCCATCCCATTCCCCATCTATTCCCCAGGGAGGGTGAGGCCTTCCATGAGGGATCATCAAAGTCTGTCATATCATTTGGAGCAGGGCCTGGGCCCTCCCTCATGTGTCTAGGCTAAGAGATTATCCCTCTTTGTGGAATGGGCTCCCAAAGTCCACTCGTGTACTAGAGATAAATAATGATCCACTACCAGAGGCCCCATAGATTGCCTAGGCCTCCTAGCTGACACCCACATTCAGGGGGCCTGGTTTGGTTCTATGTTGGTTCCCCAGCTCTCAGACTGGGGTCCATGAGTTCTCACTTGCTCAGGTCAGCTGATTCTGTGGGTTTTCCCAGTGCGGTCTTGACCCATTTGATCCTCACTCCTCCCTCTCTGAAACTGGATTCCAGGAGTTTGGCTCAGTGCTTGGCTGTGGATCTCTACTTCTGCTTCCATCAGCTACTGGATTAAGGCTCTAGGATGGCATATAAAGTGGTCATAATCTCATTGTAGGGGAAGGGCAGTTAAAGTAGCCTCTCCACTGTTGTTTAGATCCTTAGTTGGGGTCATCCTTGTGGATCTCTGTACAGTTCCCCAGTGCCAGGTTTCTCTTTAAACCTATAGTGGCTCCCTGTAGTGATGTGTCTCTTTTCTTGCTCTCCTCTATTCCTCTCCTCACTCAATCTTTCTGATCCCTCGTGTTGTCCTCCCCCCTCCTCCTCTCCCCTCCTCTTTCTTCTACCTCCTTTCCCCCTCCCCCCATGCTCCCAATTTATTCAGGGTGTGGTGGAGCATTTTCCTAATGATTGATGTGAGTCTGTGGGTGATGCCAGGTCAGGTGGTCTGGGTGCTATAAGGCAAGCCAAGCAAGCCATTGCGAGCAAGCCAGTAAGCAGTACTCCCATGGCCTCTGCCTCGGCTCCTCCTCCAGGGTGCTGTTTGAGTTCCTTGGCTTTCCTCAATGATGGACTATGACCTGTAACCAAATAAACCCTTTCCTCCTGTAACATGCTTTGGGTCATGTTTTCTCGTAGCAACAGAGGGCAGAAGGAATTATCTTAG